AAACTTTTTTTTTTTTTTTTAACAGACGTAAACTTTAAAATATTGAATTTTGGCAGTGAAGCCGTTACAGATGTAATATGAAGAAAAATACACAATTTTAACCCTTGTATTTAAAGAATTACAAAGGAGGAAAGATTTGGTAAATCAGGATGTATGTGGAGTACTTCTGAAAATAGAGCACACTAAAATATTTGCTGTGCTGACGAACGATGTAACAATTTCTAAGTAGCACATCATAAAACAACAAACAGTAATATTTTAACTATAACAGATTGTGCAATACAAGACTTTATTCCTTGTATCCATCTTTACATATCTCTCACCTTGACAAACCAAGTTTCATGCTGTTCTTAGTACAGGACCTATTTTTACTGCTTCTGCATTTTGATTGTGATAGTCCCTTCTGTCTGGAAAGTCCTTTGCCTTCTCTTTGCCAGTCCAAATCTTACTAATTCTTTAAAATCCAGCTTCACTGTCACCCTCTAGGAGCCCTCTCAGACAAAAGTTCTCTCTTCTGAAAAGAGATCCCGCCCTTTATCCATTATAGTTATCTTGGGCATGTCTTCTGCCTATTCAGTTCTTTTCAAAACACGATCAGTATATAATTTACTTTTGTATAACAGTCACACCATATATAGTAGCAACTAAATATTTATTGAAAAATCAAAATCTGTTAATAAATTCTTTTATCACTGAAGTATTAATTTTTTTAATCAGTTTTCTTACTTTGTACTTTCTGAATGCATTGGAAAATATTATTTTCTGAAAACATTCAACCAGCAGTCCTTACTATCTTCTCAGATCTTATTTTCTCCTACTTCTGCTCTGGTGTGGTTAGAGGAATTACAATTTCAAGAGCTGCCAGATGTGTGATGGCAAGTTTTTAGCCAACATGAAAGTTAAGTAACTGGGTTAAGGTACTAAGGATATCAGAAAGGAAACAAACAGAACCATATAAAGAATTAACACTAAACAGCTCTCTGGCAATGTAAAGGCAGTCATCTTGGCCACGCGGCCACTTCAGCCGAAACGGGATGCTAACCGGCACGGCAGCAGGTCGTGTACCGCTAATGGATGTTTTCAGTAGTGATTCTTAAACACAGTTCTGTTTTCATAAAGGCCCCTGGGTGGCGCAAACGGTCTGTGCTTGGCTGGTAACCAAATGGTTGGCAGCTGCAACCCACTTGGCAGCGCCATGGAAGAACATGCCTGGCGACTTGCTTCTGTAAAGTTTACAGCCAAGCAAACCCTCTGGAGCAGTTCTGGTCTGTAAAACACATTGGGTTGCCATGAGTTGGAATCAGTGACAGAAGACAACAACACCTTCATAAACAGATGTCAGGGATTCTTCTTTTCTGTGAGGAGAGACTTCCCCTCTTCCTCTTGGATTGTAAAAAACAGAAGAACCTTTTCTCAGTCTTTTACGTTTTTAGACACAATCAAGCTCCCGTCTGGTGAACTAGCCTATGAACCAACCACTGTCTGAATCTAGACTGTGGAGGTATTGAAAATCTTTGCTGGGTGGTACAAGAGTAACGCAACGCTGATGGCAGAGACTGCAGTGATTCTGCCTCCACCCTGTGAGAATTACTCATTTTTTAACAGAAGAAACAGTACTGAGGGGTGGGGAGATATTTCTGGAGTATAATCTCAAAAATATGTAAAGCAGTATTACTCTTGTTTTAATGGATTGACTTTAACTAATAAACGGCTGTCTGGCAACCTGAGACTTTCTACACATCTTCTAATTATTTGCTTCTGACTCATATCCATCTTCTTACCCATCATCTTAATCTAGCCTTCAATACTCTCAAATCCTACTTCCTACTTCCAGTATTGCTCGATCACTGCAAACAGTGCTGATCTTCCTCTTCTCGGAGTTCCTGTGATTTTTACAACCTGCATCATACTGTACAGCCTTTTATAAATGCCCTTCTTTTGTTCAAGTGGAAGCCTAATTCCTCCAGATGAATTTTAAGACCAACGAGTATACCCCCAGCTTCTTTTACACCCTTCTAGCATGATATCGGGCAAATGCTTAAGAAAGTCATAAACAACCCTTCCTCTCCTCCCCCTCTCATGTTTTGAGCAATAATTTATTAAGACACTTTTTGCAATGAAAAATAAAATATGCTATCCATCAACCATAAAAAAGCAATGGGCAGAAAGAACTTTACTCTGAGTTCAATTTAAGTGACTTAATCGCATTCCTGAAATGTCTGATGATAAAATATGACAAAAGTAGGCAGGCAAATAAATGCAATGTATACTAGATTCTTTCATGCAAGAATATTTTTTTAGAACCTCTGATACTCTAGGAACGCAAAATGAAACCTCTGCCCAATGTATCTGACCATGGAATCTTTCTTTCCCTGAAATATCTATCCAATACCACTATTCTGAGGTGCGCAGTTTTAGGGACATTCAAGACTGGTCCTAGCGATGCCTACCTTAGAAACTGAGCTCTGTTATCAGAAATTAAAAAAAAAAAGATGCAGCTGAACATTTCAACTGAGATACACTATTTAAGAAAATCAAGAAGTCACAAGGAGAGTTTATTTACTTGATTCATATTATTTAATATTTCATTAGATAAAACATAGTCATTTACAGAATAGACTGGATTTTAATTCACCACCACATTCTAATACAGAGACGTAAAAGCTTACTGATAATGAGAGAAGACAACGGGGGTGAAATATGCGTTGACTTCTTAGCTGTGAAAATCTGTTTTTCATGGAATGGTATAAAATGTGTTTTCTCTAAAGGTTTTCTCTATGATTTTAGTGTGTGTTGTTTTTATTTTTCCTTTGTGTGTCTGAATTAACACTAATCTTTTCTTCGTTATTTTGAGAGATGTAAAAAAAAAAATGCAGAAAGGTAGGAAACACCCACTTTCCCACTACTTAGAACACACAATCGCTAAGTTTTGTCATATTTGTTTCACTCTTTTTTCCTAAACAAACAATACAACAGCGGATAGCAACAATTCTGTCATTTAGTTAACAAGTACTCAGGGAGCACTTACTCTGTATCAGGCACTGCGCTAAGCACTGGACACTGAGTGGTGAGTAAAACCGACATATGACCTGCTGTTATGAACCTTACAGTCTGGTGAGGGAAACACAATCCAAGAGTCACAGGAATAATTATAAACTGACATGGTCTGAAAGAAAAATACCACCCAGCCTTTCTCAACAGGGACTTCCTGAGAGAAACCCTAATGAAAATGCTTTGGGTGACTAACACTTTCTCAATTCTCTTAAGAGTGATATGTAGCTATTATCAACCTCAAAGCATAGGAGAAAAGTTAATTCAGCACATGCGGTGAATGTCTTAAGGCACGGGGAGCTGGCTCTGAGAGCCAGCAGAGCAGGGCTGGTACAGATGCAATGAGAAAGAACTGAGCTGGTCTTTGGTGGTGGTAGTGGTGGCTGAGGGCTGGGTAAGGAAAGCCAGTTACCTAAGGAAGCAAAGTTTCTGTCGACATTTGAGGGAACGCACAGGAGTTATTTAGGCCAGGGCTGGGTGGGCTAGCAGTGAGAAAGGTTACACCTTTCCAGGCAGAGGGGACAGCATATTTGTAGACCCTGAGGGAAAAAGAGCAAGTTGATTTTGGAGACTTGAAAGAAGACGGATACAAGTGATATACAGAGGAGGCGGGGAGAAAAATAAAACATGGGGCTGGAAAGACAGGCAGGTAGGTGGGGGCCAGAAAGAATAGTAAACTAGATTGTATAACAAAGATCCTGGGACTCCAGTGAACTGAGAGAATTAACAGTGGATGAGGAAGACCAGTGGGGAAGCTTCTGTAGTAATTAAGGCAAGGAATAACTGCCTGGACTAGGGCAGTGATGGCAGGGATGGAGGAAAGCAGACAGGTTTGAGTGGTATTTACAACGTAAAGGAAGAGAGAAGGATAGTCAGGGAAGTGTCAAGGACGACTCCTAGCTTCTGGGTGCAAGATGGTGCTGAAAAATGGAGAAGGAAAAGTCTGGAGAGTGAGCTTTTAAGTCTGTCTTAGGTTTGAGGTAACTCTGACATATCCAAAGGAGACGGCAAGGGGGCAGTTGCATATAGAATTGGGCGTTGAGAGAAGCGGTTTGGATTGTAGTTCCTTTGTTAGAAGAACAACTGGTAGAATGGGAGGGAATGGGCAGAGATCTCATGAAGCCTCAAGCTTAGGCAGCACACATTACAAAGCAAGATGTATGTGTACAATATGTGTGTGTTATGTACAAGACAAGTGGAACTACATTAAAAAAAATTAAAAAAAAAAAAGTAGAACAAATGAGACAGAATGGTTTTTTTAAATTGTTTTCCATGCTTGGATGAAAAATTGCTAGAGAAAGTTACAAACGTAGGTGTATACAACATGTTATTGCCGCACTACAGATGCTCTCCACTTTCTTCAGAACCGTTCAAACTCATCTGATAATGTAAGTTGCAAAATTAGACACCCACCTGACATTAAATCATAAAGCAATTTTCTAGTAAAGATATTTTGAAGCAAAAAACCCATATAGACCCTTTCTCTTCCTTTTTTGTTTTCAGTGTTTTCACTTTGCCTTCTATATAAATTAATTCAAGTTCATAATTTTCATACTTTTGCACTAGTATGGAGAAATATAAAGAATGATTATCCTCAAAATTATACAGTGATGTGTTAACCAAAAATCTAGTAATATGTGAGCTCATTTTGTTTAAACGGTTGTTAAAATACTAATTCTAAAATCAAGTTTACTGTTGGTTGGTTTGAGAATGTTACACACTGCATTTTCACTTTGCTGACTTTTTAAAAGTTTTGATAAAAAGCAAATACCAAATAAAGTCCTTACTGGAAGAAAGCAAGAAAATTCCATGTAGCCCCTTATTAGAAAAAATAAATAATTATGCTCCTACACTACATTTTTGTGCTTGAATAACTACATTTCTAGATTTATTCATTAGTTTAAGTCAGTTGTTGGAATGTTTTTGTAATCTCTTAATTTGTTACATACCAGTTAGCAATGTCCTTGTGAGCTACTAAATTTTGAAGAAACGCTTGTAATCCTAACCGTCTTTCTTCTAAGAAGTCGGCATTGTAATTATCTTTAAACCAGCGTTTTGGTGGAAGTGCTAATCGAAAGCCAGGAAACATCTCTTTTAACTGAAAAAGAAAAGAAAATACAATGTTCAACTCAATTATATCAATTCTCCCAAATTTATCCTGCTGACTATGAGAAAGTATTCATGAATAAGCTTCAGCTCAGCTTTTTAAGCTCTGATTGCTTTATTTCTTGATTTCCACCAGTCATGTACAGAGAGAAGTTCCAGTTGCTCCCTCATCCTTGCCAACACTTGGTGGTGTCGGTCTTTTTCATGTTAACCATTCCAGTTGGTGTGTAGTAGGACTTCACGGTGGTTTTAATTTGCACTGCTTTCTTGACAAATGATGTTTGAACATTTTTTCATATGCTTATTTGCATTTGTATATCTCATTTGATGAATTATCTATTCAAATCTTATGCGTCTCTCCCATTTTTAAAATTGGGCTTTCTTCTTATTTCTGAGTTTTTAAGAGTTCTTCACGTATTTTGGTACAAGTCCTTTGTCAGATATATGTATTGCAAATATTTTCTCCTGGAATGTGGCCTGACTTTCCATTTTGTTAACAAAACAATAAAACAAAATTTAACTTAAAATTAAATTTTATTTTAATGTTATCTAACTTTTCAATTTTTTCCTTTGGTCTGTGCTTAGTTAGATCCTATCTAAGAAATCTTTCTTAACCAGAAGGTTGCAAAGATTTTCTTCTAAACATTTTATAGTTTTAGTTTTCACATTTTGGTTTATGATACATTTTGCCTATTGTGATGAAATTTACTTTCTTAGGGAAGTTATCACCAACCTTATAGACTAGGTTAAGTCTCCCTTTATACATTCTGTTCAAGTTACTATGGCTGTGTAACAAATTACCCCAAAACTTACTGGTATAAAACAATCATCTATTAAGCTCATAGATTCTGTGGGCCAGAAATTCACGCAGGGCACAATGAGGATGACTTATCTTGCTCCACAATGAACTGAGGCCTCAGCTGGAAGACTCGAAGGCTGGGAGCTGCAATCATCTGAAGGTTCACTCACTCCTGTGTCTGGTGATGTATTTCTGCAATCTGTGCACTACCTAGCCCAAACTACAATCCTCCAGACGCCTCAACTCTGATATGCCCTAGGCATTCCAGAACTGCTCATGACTTTACCCTCTTAGAAGAGGCTCTTATAAACTCCCAGGGAAGCTGAAGCCAAACTATAACTTGGGAAAATTAAAAAAAAAAAAAAAAAAAGATTAGCGTTCTGTAGGAAAATCTCTCTTGTTCTAACCATTGTATTTTAACTCTGATCAATAACTTTCATATTGTCAACTGGCAATTTTTTCCCCCACAACTATAGCTAAATGGGTCTTCTTGTTACAATATTTAAAGTTTCCTAACTTTATGCTGCATATTTTCAGATGCGAATCTCAACTCCTTCCCTATTCAATAAGAGGCAGCTTTCTACTTCTCACAACAAAAGTTGAAATGGACAGATTTCTCTCCCTGCCCCTGTAACGCAGGCTCTCTAACACGTTCTTCTGCCAGGGCTTTGAATCTGAGGGCTATTTCAGAACTTACTCATACTAACGGCGATGATAATGAAAGATATGGTGGGAGTATCTGAAGTCCAAAGACATCATCTCGACTAGATTCACGTACGGTCTTGGTGTGTTCCCTGGTGCCCAGCCTCAGTGTCCACTTATTTTCCGAACTTAAGAATTAATTCTTACACTTAACAGATATACATTCAATAAATCCTTTTTGCCCCTTTTTTGCAGAAGAAGAGGAGGAGTAAAAAGAAAGGAATGTAGAAGATGCTACATAATGGAGACCCTAAACACATACCTATTTAGGGTAGACAGAGGAAAAAAACAAGTGTCTTAATATAAGAGTACTTGTGGCATAGAATAAAACATCCAGGGATGGCAATTTACATGTATTTAAAATGTCTTCTTTGTCAAATTAGATGAAATAAAGATGACAAGCTCTGGAAAACTGTGTTAGATGACTAAAAAAAATAAAGCCCTAGTGATTCTAGCTTGTCCTATAGGGTCGCTATGAGTTGGAATTGACCTGATGCCAACGGGTTTGGTTTTTTTTTGTTTTAGTGATGAAGAACCACCTGATACTGAAGGTCATGTAAAGAGTCTAAATACAATTATTCCATAAAATATGAGATTAGAAAGAAGTCATACTTCTAAATAAATGCTATTTCATAGGTATGATTTCAATTATGGATGTGTAACTAAATTAACTAAATGTTATACACATTTGACTACTTTAGCTACATCATTAAGAGTTCATATATTCACGATGGCCAAAAGTTTTTTCTTGTATCTTGTCACTGCAAAATGGGGAAATCGCCTTATATATGGACATAGTTTATTAACATTATATATCAACTACTAAAAGACTTGAAAATCCCAGCTACCATCTCCTGCATCTCTTAGAAGCTTGCTGTATTGCGAAACGCATGGCCGTTGGAGTCAGACAGGCTTGAGTTTGAATCACTCTGTCACTTACTAGCAGTCTGGCTTTGGGCTAGTGAATCTCTCCAGACCCATTTCCTTATGTATAAAGAAGGAAAAACTACAACCCACCTTACTGAGTTGTGAGAGGGGCCTAGTACCTGGGGAAAATCAGTTGTTCAACAAATATTTCTTTCCTAATGAATATACTGAATATCTGAATATATTGAATATATTGAATATATATCTGAATATATATGAATACATTCAGCAACACTTCTAGTTTCTCTGAGCTTCATTAATCTTTTATCCTCTGACTATCGACACCCATGAAACATGGAAATCTCACCCAACATTTATTTCACACTGTCGTATTATTTCTTATATATGTGTACACTCATACTCTTTATCTCTATTTCTCTTTTTTTTGGCTAAACCTCTTTATTTCTCCAGGTGTAAACACCTTAGAGTTAAGATCATATGTATATAGTCTACATAATCCCAAATTCCTAGCACAATGCTGAACTCAAGCTACTCATTTTGTAAATACCTGATGATTGCTTTTGTAAAATGAAAGATCCTAACATTTCACTTTATATTAACAATGATACAAACATTCACTATAATTTAACCTTTGTGCCTGCTGGTGTTTAACAGGCATTTTTGATTCTTGCCAGTAAAAGCCAGTGATGGCTGCAGCTCTGTCTGGTATCTAAAACACTGACTTCGACACTTACTAATTTTAAGCGACTAACTTGTATTTTTGATTCTTGCCAGTAAAAGCCAGTGATGGCTGCAGCTCTGTCTGGTATCTAAAACACTGACTTCGACACTTACTAATTTTAAGCGACTAACTTGAAGTTGTCATGGAGATATTTATTGGATTTATATTAAACTCCTACTAGCATCTTTTTTTCAAAAAGCCTATGAACTGTCTTTACATTTCAGTTTGTCTAAGAAATACTTTAGCAATAAAGATAAAGAGATAAAAGGAAGTAAACACTAAGTAATCGTTAAGGCCTAAAAAGAAAAACTTTAAGTCATAAAGGATTAAATAGTTTTAAATGGAAACTTTAAAAATTACATCTGCTTGAACAAAATTATAACAATTTTAAAAGAAAGCTAAGAATTCCACTTAAGTATCCGGTAACTTTAGGAACCGCTTTGATCCTCCTGTTCAATCATCTAAGACAAATCAACAGGAGTACAGAATTACAGGTTTTTAATTTATCAGTGTAATACATGAAGCTGAGGAACAGTAATAAAGTTCACATATGCTGGTGTTACATTACAAATAACACCTTAAGTATCTTGGCATACTACAGAAAGGCAACTCCACAACACCTTAATAAAGGCTAAATAGTTTGACATTTTATATTATACTTTTTACATGGAAGCTGAGGTTTTCAGAACGGTAAGAATGTTTTCGCAGCCAGACAGCTGCTAAACCACGTAAATGGGGTTTCACATCATCAAACGTTAAAGGAATATACTAACTTCAGAAGTTTTAAGTAAGCCAAAGGAGGAGGAAAGAGACGGTGTCAAATGGAGAGAAGAGAACCAGCGAAGTTTTCTCTACTAAACATCTGTCAAAATTAGGGACTAATTTCTGGATGTTCTAAGGTAATCTTACTTGGTCTCTTAGAAGCACTATAAACCAGTCGCTTCTTTTGGAAAAAGGATTTTTCTCTTGGTTTCCAAAATACCACAACCTGCCAAGTACACCCCCCACCCCTCAATTTTCTTCTAGCTCTCTGGACAACGTTTTACTTAATCAACTCCATATTGGAAATTTAGGTTGGTTCTAATTTTTAACTATTAAAAACGAAGTAAAACACAGATAAGATGACAATAAATAAAACACTGTGATAAGTATCCTTAGAGCTAAATCTTGCTCACAGCAATGATTTTTTATACAGGATAAATCCCAGAAATGTGTTTATTATGTCAAAATTATATGACACTTTAGGGTGTCCTCTAGGAAGGTTCACTCTTCCAACACTAAATAACACCATTTAAATGTCTGTCAACATGACAGGTGAAAAAGTTTCTTAGTTTTCTTCCTTTGGAGTTTTTGTGATATCAAATGCTTTACAATTTTACTGGTCATTTATATTTCTTCTGTGAATTACCCTGTTCATGTCATTTGTTGTATTTTCTACTTTTGTGTTCACTTTTTATTATTTATTTTTAAGTACTCTTTATATATAGAGGTTTACCATTAACCTCTTTCTCTGCTTCATATGTGCAGTAGGCAGAATTCTAGATGGTTCCATGACCTTCGGCACCAGTGTTACTTCTTGGACTGTCACGCTACCCGCTGCCGTAGAGTTGATGCTGATTCACAGCAACCCCATAGGACAGAGTAGAACTGCCCAACAGGGTTTCCAGGCTGTAATCTTTATGGAAAGAGATTGCCACATCTTTCTCTTGCAGAGTGGCTGGTGGGATCGAACCACTGACCTTTTGGGTAGCGGCTGAGTGCTTAACGATTGTGCTACATATCAAAAAAGACTTCTCAGATGTAATTAAAGTTACTAATCAGTTCACTTTAAGATGGGGAGATTATCTGGATGGGCCTAATCTTATCACGTTAGCCCTTTAAAACCAGAGAGTTTTCTCTGGCTGGTGGCAGAAGGAGAAGTCAGAGATTCAAAGCAAAAGAAGGAGTTGCTATGCTGTTGCTGGCTTTGAAGATGGAGGAGCCACATGCGAGGACTAGAGAGGGGTCTCAAAGAGCTGAAAGCAACCTCTGGCCGACAGCCAGCAAGGAAAGAGGAAGCTCAATCCTACAGCTTCAAGGAACTAAATTCTGCCAAGAACCTGAAGGAGCTGGGAAGAGGACTGTTCCCCAGAGCCTCCAGGAAAGTGCCGAGTTTGGCCAACAGCTTGATTTTGACCTTGTGAGACCCTAAGCAGTGAGTCAGGTGAGCCCACGGGAACCATGAGATAATAAACTGATGTTGTTTAAAGTCACTGAGTTTGTGGTCATTTCTTATGCAGCAAGAGGAAAGTAACACAGTATGTTAAAAACATTTTTTGTTCATTCTCTTGCAATCAATCACATGATTTGGGGGTCTTACTACATACGTGGAGCCCTGGTGGTGCAGTGAACAGCTCGGCTGCTAACCAAAAGGTCGGCAGTTCAAATCCACCAGCTGCTCCTTGGAAACCCTATGGGGCAGTTCTACTCCATCCTACAGGGTCGTTATGAGTCGGAACTGACTCAATGGCACCTAACAACAACAACCATATATGTCTCTCCAAATCCACAAAATTATATAATCATTTATATTTTCTTTTAGCAATTTTAAGGTTTCACATTTTTACATTAAAAACATTTTTTTTTTTCATAAAAAATAAAGCTGTGTTATAGACGGGAATCCAGGTTACGAAAGTGAAATAAAAACCCTTTGATTCAAATAATTAACAGCAAGAAAAAACACAAGTATAACAGAAAAAGTGTAAGGAAGAGATAATAATTCATAACTGAAAAGTTAGTTTTGGACTCACTAAAAACTTACTTTGTCATTAAGTCTAGAGAAGTCAGTGTATCTTCTAAAAACCACCCAGCTTTCTTCTGGGGTTTTCTTCACTAGTACTTTATATACCTATGCAGGAAAAAAAAAAAAAAAGAGAGAAAAATAAAGATATTTAAAAATTCAAGCCAAATATTTTTAAATCTTTTCCTTGGCAACTCCGATGATAAGAATTTAACAGCATTTTTTTTAAGCTTATATATGTAAGGGTTAAAGCTGGAACACTTGTTAGCTTTCACTATGAGGAATGCGTTAAATAATTAAGCTTCACCATTTTATATCAACATCTATGAATGTTATTTAGTCTTAAAGACACGATCATACAGGAATACTATGAAAATTATAACGTAAAAAATATAAAAATCATTTAGATCATAAAAATGTGTAAGTAATCAAAATGCTGACACCGAAAATGAGTTTTTTTTAAAGATACACAAATATGACAAATTCGAAACAAAATGCTTTTTCTGTGCACACTAAGTAACAATGAACTCATGAGCTTCCAAAATATGTCTTATGTCGACATATTCTAAAATTGACAAAAGAATCACTCAAGCTTTAACGAGCTGTGAAAAACAACCACTCTTGTCCTACATAATTTAAATTTAAAATCCAATAACTATGAAGCAAAATTTTCAAATAAGTTCAATGTTGTTTTAATCTTCAAGGCTGAAACTCAAACTAAAAAAGTTCTCATAACAGATAAAATTTTACATACTTGTAATTAAGCACAATTACCTAGGCTACTGAATAGAAAAACTTGGCTGAAGCAAAAGCCAATATACTTAAAAAGCATATAACATGAAAAAACTTTTTTATAAGTATTATTTTAAAATTTATTTTGAGGACGTGCTATTTATGGCAGAATGTCAGAGAAACATTTCCCAGCAGGTTGTGGTACAGTATTTTGGTATAAGGTTCTCAATGTCTGCTGAATGAGTGAAACTCTCTTGAAAAGAGTAACACTTCTCTTCTTGAAGTTGGCTATGTCATCACTTTCAATTGTAGCTCTGGAAGTCTCTAGTAAGCACTAGAAATGTGGCTAGTCCAAAGAGAGATGTGCAATGAGTGTAAAATACACACCGGATTTCAAAGACTTAGTAAGAAAAAATGTAAAATTATGTCACTAAAATTCTTTTATATTGATTACATGTTGAAATAGTATTTTGGATATATTACATTAAACAAAATATAAAAAGAATTTTACTTTTTTTATTGTGGCTACTAGAAAATTTAAAATTACAAATGTGCCTCACATTTGTGGCTCACATTACATTTCTATTGGACTGTGTTGCTCTAGAGATAACACATTATTTAGGGACTACAGATCACCCTTCCCATTCGATTTTTCTCCCTTACAGACTTCTCTTTCTGCTTTTAAGGAAGAGAATCAGCGAAGGGTAAGAATAAATCCTTTAGCTGTGAAGTAAAAAATTAGTAATTTATCTTTGTAACACATTAACGGTGGGAAATAAGATTATTTGGATACCCTTTGTCTCAGTCATCTAGTGCTGCTCCAACAGAAATACCACAAGTGGATGGCTTTACAAAGAGAAATTTATTCTCTCATAGTCCAGTAGGCTACAAGTCCAAATTGAGGGCATTAGCTCCAGGGGAGCGCTTTCTCCGTCGACTCTGGAGGAAGGTCCATGTCATCAATCTTTCTTTTGTCTGGGAGCTTCTCTGCGCAGGAACCTCAGGTCCAAAGGACACATTCTGCTCCCGGCACTGCTTTCTTGGTGGTATGAGGTTCCCATGTGTCTCTGCTCGCTTCTCTCTTTTATATCTCAAAAGAGATTGCATTAAGACACTGTCTGATCTTGTCAACCTCATCAGTATAACCTCATCACAGTGATAGAATTTATAACACATGAGGAGATCACATATAATCTCATCACAGTGGTAGAGTTTACAACACATAAGGAAATCACATCAGATAACACAATCATACAATACTGGGAATCAAGACCTAGCCAAGTTGCTACACATTTTTTGGGGGACATAATTCAATCCATGATACCCTTTAAAGTCTGCAGAAAGTCCTGATCTAAGATAGTCGCAAGGGGAATACAAAGGAAATATTCTTTTTAGAAGTTGCTCATTAAAAAAAAGAGGGGGTGCTAAATGGACTTCAAAACTTTTGAGGAGGAATGACTGATACACGATAAAAGTAAATCTCCAAACAACCCACATGTACTTTATTCTCCTGTTCTGGAAAATGAACCCCCCTTCTAACTAAATGGCTACTCTCCACAGTGGCTCCTAAACACTCCTGCTTCTCTTGCAAAGACAAAGTGCAGGCCTTTGTGCTTTATCTTTTCTAGAAAGCTCTCTTTCTACCTTTCTACTTGTTTAAGTAGTGCTCTTTCAACAAAGGAGCCCTGGTGGTGCAGTAGTTAAGAGTTTGGCTGCTAACCAAAAGGTGGGCAGTTCCTGACAGGGATCACAATAGAGGGTCCTGGACACAGCTCGAGAAAAATGTAGAACAAAATTCTAACTCACAAAAAAAGAGACCAGACTTACTGGCCTGACACAGAATGGAGAAACCCTGAGAGTATGATCCCTGTACAGCCTCTCAGCTCAGTAACGAAGTCACTCCTGAGGTTCACCCTTCATCCAAAGATTAGACGGGCCCTTAAAACAAAACAAGACTAAATGGACACACCAGCCCAGGGGTGAGGACTGGAAGGCAGGAGGGGACAGGAAAGCTGGTAATAGGGAACCCAAGGTTGAGTGAGAAGGGACAGTGTTGACATGTCGTGGAGTTGTTAACCAATGTCATAAAACAATATGTGTACTAACTGTTTAATGAGAAACTAGTTTGTTCTGTAAACCTTCATCTAAAGTACAATTTGAAAAAAAAAGGTTGGCAGCTCAAATCCACCAGCTGCTCCTTGGAAACCGTCTGGGGCAGTTGTACTCTGTCCCACGGGGTCGCTATGAGTCGGAATCAACTCAATAGCAATGGGTTTGGTTTTTGGTTCTTTCAATGAAAACTTTATGGATAGTGCTGATCATTCCCTTCTCTATGTACAAATAACACACGATCTTTTTATGTAGGCCTTTTTTAAAAGAATTTTTAAGTAGCATACAATGAATTATAAAATACATTAAGAAAAGTATACAAATCATAAGTATACAAACTTGATGAATTTTCACAAAGTGAATACAGCCATGCAACTAGCACCCAGAGCAAGAAACAAAACATTACCAACCGCAGAAGCCGCTCTACCTCATGCCTCTTCCGAACTCTACTCACCATCCACTCCGAGTCACTTTTTGTTTAAAAACCCCCTTGGAAGACCTGAGCTGTATGTTATCAGTTCTCGACAGTCAGTCCTAATACTTTCTTCGGTTAACAGCTCAATCCAAAGGAACGCATCTAGGGAACATTATTTTACAAACTTACAATTCCTAAGCTTGTGTCTCCAGCCAAAATGCGACGCACACACACTTGCATACATACACACACGTACACGCACACACATGCATGCACATACACACGCATGCATACACACACATATACATGCACACACACACAAATGTCCATACTCACACTTACATACACATACCTAACATCTCCATTTCAAAGTGTAATAGACATCTCAAACTAAGCATGTCCAAAAACAAATCCTCATTTTCCCCTCAAAATCTGCCACCTAATTAAATAGCAACCTTCTTCTTATTATTAGTCAGGCCAGAAACTTTGAGGTCAATTTAATTTCTCTTTTGATCACACTCCATTTCCACATCATCAGGAAGTATGACTGCCTCTACCTTCAAACTATACGCAGAATCTGATAATTTCTCAGGATCTCCTCCACCACCCCAGTCCTAACCCCCATCATGTCTCTCCTGGATTACTGCAAAACCTGTCTCCTGTTTCAACCTTTCCCCAATTTCAATTTAGCAGCTAGAACGAGCCCTTTAAAGCGTTAAGTCAGATCGAGTGACTCCCCTTTCCAAAACCTTTTAAGAGTCCCATTTCATGCAGAGTAAAATCCAAAGCTCTTACAGTAGCTACAAGGTCCTGCAAGATCTGTGTCTTTACCTCTGACCTCATTTTCTACATCTCCCCCTTGCTTACTCTGCTTTCAGGCACAAAGGCCTCCGCAGTCGTCCCTGTTTGAAACACTCTTTCCTGAGATATCCTCGTGGCACATCCCCTTAGAGTTAAAATCTTTTCTGTGAGGTCTTGACTGATAACGCCATCAAAGTCACAATCCAGCTCTGGGCAAACTCCCTATCCTCCTTCCCTGTTTTATTTTTCTCTATAGCATTTATTGCAATGCGACACACCAGAGGGTTTTACTTGTTATCTATTTACTTATTTTCTTTTTGAATTGCTGTACCATCACCCAAAACAATGCCTGGTACGTAATAGGTACTCAAAACGTTTGTTGAGTTAATGAATAAATGAATGAACACGACTAACTTCATTTTACTTCCTCCTAGTGTCTTGACTAGTGTCTGGAAGAACTTTAAATTTGTATACAACTCTATTAAATGTCTACAAACTTTCATTTCCACACACATTACCTTAAGTAATGTTCACTTCTTCCTAAGGAAGGCAGATCAATGTAAAGAAATGAGCCACCAGTTTATTACTTCCAAAATGACTCTCAAAAAAAAAAAAAAAAAATCAGTTCCATGCAGATTTCCCATTCCATCACTGTTCTTATGATAACGTAACTTTAAAGATCAAGTCTCTTTATAAACTATCTCAACTTTGTTTTCTTGGACCTCCTCCCATCCTGTCACAAATTTACAGGATGAAATGTTGACATAAACATCAAGGTTGCTAGGTAACAAGGTCGGCATCCATCAATTAGCAATAAACAAATAGAAAGGTAAAAAATAAATTAAAAAAAAAACACACAAGAACATCAAAAACATTCAGAACTAGAAATAAAAGACCTCTGCATTGAAAACTATAAAGCATTACTAAAAGAAATTAATGAAAACCTACAATAATTAAATAGATGAGGTTCAGTGACTGGGGGAATCAATATTGTAAAAGTGTCTGTTCTCTCTGTACTCATCTACAGATCCAACGTAATCCCGAAGCAAAGGGCCAAGCAGAGTCAAGGCAATCCTAAGGAAGAACCAAGCCAGAGTACTTCCACTACCAGATATCAAGACCTATCACAAGGCTACGGTAGTTAAGACAGCGTGGAACTGGCGTACAGCTGGGGAAGTGGAACAGAACCGAGTGCACAAAATACACCCATTTATGGTCACCTGACTTATGAAGAGGGCAACAGTGTAAATGCAGTGGAGAAAGTGGCCTATTTAAGAAAAGCCTGATCAACTGATGTCATGTGGATTAAAAAAAAATGTATATTGACCCTTATCTCACACCATGGACAAAAATCAATTCCAGATGGTTTACACATCTAAACGTAAACAGTCAAACAATAAAGCTTTTAGAAAACAGACGACAACATCTTTGCAACTTCGGAGGAGGCAGACATTTCAAAAAGTACTAACCATAAAGGAAAAACTAATAAACCAGACTATATCACAGTTGAGAATTTTTATCTATCAAGCATACCATTAAGAAAGTAGAAAAGCAAACCACACACAAGAGAAGATATTCACACACAAAAATGTATCTGAAAAGGGACATTCCCAGCATGCACAGAAAAATGCAAATAAAAATGGAAAACACATATGCCAAAAGAAAAATGAGCAAAAGTCTTGGACATTTCACAAGAGTATCCATATGGCCACACACACACACACACACACATTTATTTATACATATTTAAAGGCCTTTTATTTAATTAGTCATTAGGGAAATGCAAATTAAAACCACAATGTGCTATCACCTATACCCACTTGAAAAGTTAAGATGAAAAAGACCAAGAATACTAAATGCTGAAGGAGTGGCCCAACCAGCACTCTTGTGCACTGCTTGTTGTTAGCTGCTGCTGCTGCTGCTGAGTTGGCTGCTGAGTTGGCTGCTGAGTTGGCTGCTGACTCATGGTAACTCCACGCAAAACTGAATGAAACATGGCCGCCTGGTCCTGCACCATTCCCATGATTGGTGGTAAATCAGACCCTTGTGAGTCATAAGGAAGATCACCAGGCCTTTCTTCCTAGTCTGTCTTAGTCTGGAAGCTCCACTGAAACCTGTTCAGCATCATAGCAGCACACAAGCCTCCACATAAGGCTGCACGTGAGGTTCACTGGCTGGGAGTCAGATCTGGGTCTCCCACATATACTACTTATGAGAGTATAAACTGGTACATCCACTCAAGAACATTCTTCAGTAGTATCTTCTAAAGCTGGGTATATGAACAGCAATTTTATTCTTAGGTAGAAATCAGACAGAAATGTGTACATGTGTTAACTAAATGACAAGTACTAAAATGTTCATAGCAGTAGTATTTGTAAGGGCCCCAAACTGGAAATTATCCAAATGCCCTTTAATGGTAGAATCAATAAATAAATTGTAGTATATTCACACAAAGGAATACTGTCAGCAATGACAATGAACTATGATTACATGTAACATCGAGGATGAATCTTACAAATATAATGCTGATCAGAAGGGACCAGATCCAAGAGTTTATGCTTAATAATTCCATTTATAGAAAGTATAAAAACAGGCAAAATTAACTCTTCTATCGGGAAAGTGTTTACCCTCGGGGACTGGTGCGTGGGTAATGAATGGCAGACCATGGAGGCTTTTAGGATGCCAGCAACGTTCTGTTTCTTGATCTATGTGCCAGCTACATAGGTGTGTTCAGTTTATTAAAATTTATTAGGTAACACAAGTTTGCTACAGCATTAATCTATTGGAAATTATTTTTGCTTTTTTATGCAATCAGGCAAAAATTATCCCAAATTATTTTTATTGTGGTGAAATGTATACAACAAAACATCTGCATTTCAATCACTTGTGTGTGTACAATTCAGGGACATGAATTACATTCCCATGTTGTTTAACCACCTTCACTATCTGTTTCTAAATTATTTGATAACCCATAACAGAAACTCAATACTCCTGAAGCAGTACCTCTGCATTCCCCTCGCCCACCTACCCTTGATAACCATGAAGAAACTTTGGTCTTCCTGTCTCTGCTTATTTTCTATAGCTGAGATCATACCAGTATTTGTCCTTTTGTGTCTGACTTAATTCACTCAGGATCACGTTTTCAAGGTTCACCCATGAAACTATTTGAATTTGATGTTCAAGTAATTACAAGTACAGGCTAATATTAATAATATAATACAGGTTTAAAATATGTGTTGTGGATTGAATTGTGTCCCCCCAAAAGATGTTGAAGTCCTAATCCTTTATACCTGTGAATGTGACATTATTTTGGAAATAGGGTTTTGGTAGATGTAATTAGCTAACAGGGGTCGGGTTTTTGTAGATGTAATTAGCAAACAGGAGGTCATACGGAAGTAGGGTAGGCCCTAATCCAATACGACAGTTTCCTTATAAACAGAGAAGAGACAAAACAGACCCAGAACGAAGATGGCCAAGTGAAGACGGGGGCAGAGATTGGAGTTATGCTGCCACAAGCCAAGGAAAGCTTTGGCTTGCTGGTCGTCACTAGAAACTAGGAGAGGGGCATGAAACAGAATCTCCCTCAGAAGGAATCAAACTTGCTGACACATAGATTTCAGACTTCTGGCCTCCAGATACGTGAGAGGATAAATGTCGGATGTTTTAAGTCACCCAGTTTGTGGTACTTTGTCGTGACAGCCCTACGTTCAATAGGTTAGCCGATATTTCACTTTCTATCAGTCTACTGCAGAAGTCAATACTTACAGTAAATTTAGCTCTTTCTTCCATCACCTCATAACCCAGTATAGTAGGTGTAGATGGTCTATCTTCCCAACTGACTGTTTCAGGATTTTGTTCTTCACTTTCTCTTGGTCTAGCAGAATACTCAATGGAAGAATCTGTACCTGTAAATTTAGTCCTAATGAGGGGACTGTTACAGACAGATGAAGTACTATCCATTTGATCAGGCACACTTGGCCGTTTATAATTACCCATATTTGTGTCTTCTAACTGGCCTTTCGAAGAGTTTGAGCTTGTTGAGATACTCCCAAAAGAAGGACTTCTTTGGTTTCTGTTGGTTGTAAAGCTGGAAACGGGGTTTCCTACGGGCATAGGAAGCGGGACATAAGGAGTTACCATCTTCTTCCGGCCTTTGCAACAGAGGCCTACACACTGCTGGTCCAGACACTCAGAGAACAGCCAACATGCAATCCATTATTTTCTTCTTAGGAATTCAATACCTACAAATGAGAGGGACATATTGGAAAATTAATCTTTAATCTGGAGCAGGATCCAAAAAGAAAATAAAATATTCATAACTATTTTTAGTTCAGTGACACTCTCATTCTTTTTGGAATGGAGACGTGCCAAATCCCTTTCTTTAATCCCAAAATGTAATTTCTAAGGACTCTTATTTCCAAGGTAAAGAGATAAGAACTACTTCACACCCTTTTTTTGACCCTCATGTTACATGTTATTCTTTTTTTTCTTTTTCCTTGTGAAGGGTTTCTCTAATGTTCATTTTTGCCTGATTTCATCTACATAAAAGAGATGGAAGATGGAAGAGTGATAAATACCTTTCCAGAGTTTGATTCCCTGCTTATGGTCCTAACAGTACTAGATACAGTAGAGGGAGGAAAGAAAAGGAAACAAAGAGGAAAACTATTCCCGTTACCTTTTGTTTTGATTAGAGAAACTCAAGAGAATTACTGAGTAGTAACTAACCAGAAGCTTAGATGCTAAACAGTAAATATCAACTGCTCTTACATTAACAGTTTATAGAACCCAGGATCAAACGTACTTGGAAAAAAATCTATGAAATTATTCAAATACAACCTAATGAACATTAAACTACATATCCAACAAGATTAAATAATTAAAAGTTTAAATTTTCCTCAGAGTTTCTAGATCATCACTAATTCTGCTTTGCCATAAACTGAGGGTACTTAACCAATATTTATAACTCATACTCAATAACCTCTCGTCAAAAGGATTCGTAAAGCTTGGATCAGAATAATTTCACAGTAATACAAAAGAAAAGGTTTACCATCAAGATGTTAAATAATACGGTAACTAAGAAACTGTAATAACTAGAGATCAACGAAATGACAGGACTTCACAAAACAAGTCGTCTACCCGCCCAACTGTACGCAACTCCCCTGGTGGAGAAGGTGGGAAACTAATGGGCCGCCTGCACTTGGAAAGATGCTGAAATAGATTTTTCACCCAGCACGTGGCTCTCGGCAACCTTCCCATTATCAAATATTCAAGAAACTGGAGCTGCTGATTCATGGATCCTCCGTTCCGCTTGATGGCCTCCCAAAAAAGAAGTAAATGAAAGTCTGAATCTCAAGCTTCTCAAGGCCTGTGAGACGGCTCTGCCCTCCCCACTAGACTCACCTGCGGCCGCCGACCAGGTGCTGGACGCCTATCAATACGACTACGGGCGTCCGGGGAGGGCAGCCCGCCCCAGCGTTAGGAACAGGAATGTGCGCACCGGCCTGGGGACGCTCCGAGGATGATCACCTGAGTCCCACTCTGGGAAACCTCGGCCAGGTGAGGTGGCCCGGCCCTAAGCAACCCGCTGGGCGAGAGAAGCGGGTGACGAGAGGAACGCGCGTGCGGCGGGGTCTCCTGCGCCCCAGGTACGCGGCCGGCGCCTCCGAGACGCACGGAGGAGTCGGCTGGGACCCGGAGGTGGCCGGGCGGCTCCTGCGATGCCCCGACACCCTCCTGCAGAGCCCCCTCCTGCACAGCCCCCTCCTGCAGAGCCCCCTCCTGCAGAGCCCCCCGCCAGCTACCGGGTGCAGGTGTCTCCCCGACGAGCGCCCCGGACAGCGCCCGCCGTCCTGTCCCTACCTCAGCGCACTCGGCAAGCCTGCTCCAGCGCGCTTCCCGGTGCCGGTTAAACCGGACCCTCCACGACCGCAGTTTGTCGCCTCCTCCCACAGCACGGAGCGGCCTCACGTGACCCCCGCCCAGAAAGCAGCTGTTCCCCGCTTCGGCCCGCCCAGCCCCGGCGCCGGGCCCAGGACACCCGCGCGGGGACCCAGGGGCCGGGCTTGAGTCGCCCTCCCGGAAGTGACGTCACGCGCGAGCGCCCGCCCCTGAGGCGCAGACTCGGGTGACGGGGCCCGGGCTCTCTGGCAGCCGGTTGCACTTAGTCTTGTGGTAAGAATTCCACCTCCTCTGCCCTAGCTTTATTTTTCGAAGTGAACTTTTTAAGAAATAGAGCCTACAATACCTAGTTTGTTCGACAAGTGGTCAGAAGGTCTATCGCCAACCTATGGCTGGGCTCATGCGTTGCATCATGGGACTTGTAGTCATCACACGCTTGGGTGGTTTTAAATAGGTTGTAGACTGTTTTCCAGAATTAGCAGCGCTTTAAGGGATGGCAATCGATTGGAAGAGTGGGAAGATAGGACACTGCATTACAGCCTGTCTGTCCCACATAATTCAGAACTCCTCACTGGCAGACAACCCCTGAAATTCTTTAGTGGTTTTTACTCCCTGGGAAACATTTTTATCCCAAATGATAACGTTAGGCTTGTTAGATTTGTACATCTGAAGACCAGAGAGGTTATCAGGAAAGCCGTTTTTTGATAGTCAAATACAAAGATTCAGATCAGTTTACAGGCCTGTTCATTAAAGTTGTGTAATTTGATTTAAAGATCATTCCATGATTTTTAAGGCTTTGGAGTAGTTCCAAAAGACTGGGAAGAAATAATAGTAATTTCAAAATGAACATAGGAATATCACCTGGTTTGTAGCATAATGATTTTGATTTCAAAGGTACTGCTCTTCCAGTGAGGATGAGACCTAACAGAATTGTATAGGAGCAGTGGAATAAGACGTAGGTAGTTATCAGGATAGACTTGGCAATCATTGGCCTTGAGGGGGCGGTTAAATCCATGAGTTCTGTGAGTAAGGGTATATGGAGAAAGGCAGAGAAAAGAAAAGTGAGCCTTGCAATATTTCTTTCACTTCAGGGACAGGGCTGCAGGTGGTAGCAAAGAGATCTGTAACGAGGAAAACCTCATTACATAGTCTAATATCTAGGAAGCCAAGGAAAACGAAACTTTCAAGAAGTAAGGGTGTACCAAGGAGGATAAAGATGTAGAAAAGGTCATTGAAATTGCCAAAGAAGAACTTCCTTCACAGATTTTTGAAAGAAACACAACAATATACATACTGTATATTTTCTTTATCTTCCATAATATCTGGTATTGATAAATCTTAGTTTCAGGAAATGAACTACAATCTTTGGAAATCAAGAAAGTATATCTTGTGGCTGGGTTGAGTAAAAGTTACATCATCACAAACTATATATGATGTCCAGTCCTTATTATTGCTTTATTTTAGTTCAGCTCCTGATACCTCCATACTGTGCCCACAGCCAAATTGAAGTGATGTCTTCTAACTTATAAAGTAATAGAAGACCATTTTTTTCTGCTCCTTTCATTATTTTAATATTATATAAAATACATATCTCTCAGAAGGGCATTCTGAGCCAACCAAAGGAACAATTTTATACAATGATCTATAAATACTGCTAAATGGGGGGTAACAACCACAGCAGAATAAAGCACGGACAGTAAGCAGACATCTTGTGAGGTGGCTTCCTAAAAACAAACAAACAAAAAAGCCAAACAAACGCATTGCTGTCAAGTTGATTCCGACTTGTAGTGATGCTAGAGGACAGAGTAGAACTGCCTCGTAGGGTTTCCCGGGGACGCCTGGTGGATCCAAACTGCCAACTTTTTGGTTAAGCAGTTGAGCTCTTGGGAAGTATGTCACCAGGGCTCCTAGATCCCACTATTTCCCCCTTCTCTGGAATTGATTCCTCTTATATACGGTTGGGACCCTGGTGGCCATGTTTGTAACAGGTGATTCTGTTTCTTGTCACAGTTGATTGTACCAGGGAAAGATATTTGACCCAAGTTGTGTCCAACAGATGCTATCTCCCAGAAGTTTAAAATATGGAAAAGACACAGGCTAGAAGTCATAGGAGCTAAAGTCAGACTAATAGAAGTTCTATGGTGAGAATGTCCACGAAGTCCCATTGCTGAGGTTCCTGGAATGACCTGGTTGATCCTTTTCTCCATTCTTTTCCTGGGACTCCATGTGATAACCTAGTATCCTTCCAATTAATTAGCTTTTTCCTTAAATCTAGCTAGAGTTGGTTCTTTTGTGTATTACCAGAAGAACAACTAATGTGGCAAATTGGAATGAGGCAAACTGAAAATGAATAGAAGCTGATAAAATGCTCTTCCAGTTTTCGTGAATAGCTGTCAGCAGTTCATTATCTATGCTCTTAAAATATAGTATTTCATTAATATATTTTGTATTTATTATGAAATAGAAACAGCTTTTTCTCAATAATTTGTGATAGCTAAAATAACTTATAAAGAACTTTTTCAGTGATTCTTTTGGTTTAAATTCATGAGTTCCCTAATTTGTGTATATAATTCTCCAATAAGCAGTGATTTCTTTAATTTTAATATTTGAGATCTGTATTCCATCTGCCTCCTCTTTGCTCACTGCCATGAAATTATAAGAGTCCAAAGAAAGAACTATGATCTTTTCTTAGAGTAAATGGCGGTTGTCTTAGTCATCTAGTGCTGCTATAACAGAAATACCACAAGTGGATGGCTTTAACAAAGAGAAATTTATTCTTTTACAGTCTGGTAAGCTACAAGTCCAAATTCAGGGTGTCAGCTCCAGGGGAAGGCTTTCTCTCTCTGTTGGCTCTGGAGGAAGGTTCTTGTCTATCTTCCCCTGAACTAGAGCTTCCCTGCACAGGAACCCCAGGTCCAAAGGACATGCTCTGCTCTGGTGATATGAGGTTCCCATGTCCCTCTGCTTGCTTTCCTCTTTTATATATTAAAAGAGAATGGCTTAAGACACTATCTAATCTTGTAGATTTCATCAGTGTAACTGCCGCTAATCCATTTTATTATATCTTAGTGATAGGATTTACAACACATAGGGAAATCACCTCAGATTACAAAATGGTACACAATCATACAATACGGGGAATCATGTCCTAGCCAAGTTGACAGGTATTTTTGGGGGACACAATTCAATCCATGACATTCCACCCTTTGGCCCCCCAAAATTTATATCCTTGCCACATGTAAAACACATTCATTCCATCATATCATAGCAAAAGTCTTAAATCAACTCCAAGTCCAAAATCCAAAAATTCTTCCTCTTCTGTTAAATCTAGAATACAAGTTGTCAGCTTCCAAAGGCACAATGGTGCAACAGGCAGGCACAAGCTAGACATTTCCATTGCAAATTGGGGAAAACGGAGGGAAAGAAGGCATAACAGGCACCAAGCAAGTCAGCAGAACACATCACATTAGCCCTCAAAGCTTTGAAAATAATCCTCTGTTTTCTGAGACCATTTACACAGTAGCACTGCCCTCTAGACTGTAGGTATTGGCCACACTCTCCAGATTCTGAGTGGAGGCCCCTCGGTCCCAGGCTTTGGTTTCGCCTTCCAGGCCCACTGGGACGGCAACTCTGCTCCGTTGGCTTTAGGCGCACCATTCTCCTCATCCGCCTGAGTGGCGACTCCACCCTTAGAAACACCGGAGGCCATGGCTCCACCTTTGAAACCCCAGAGGTCCTGGCCATACCTTTTGAGACTGAGGCAGCTTGGCTTTGTGTGTTCTTTGTCTCTTCAGCTTCTGCTTCCTGGTTCCTTGGCCTCTTGGCCCTCAGGCCTCATGCCGGCATCTGCCCTGCTGGGGCAAGTGTTCCAAAGCTCTGTAGCTCCACTGATAAGTGCCTGGAGGCACCCTACTCCACCAGTAAACTTCAGCCGGAAGGTACTCAGCTCTCTTGCTCTGTGGGTTGGCAAGCCTAGCTCCACCAATAAGTACCCAGAGGTACCCCACTCCACCAGGAAGCCTCCTGTGCCAAGACATTCAGCTCTCTTGCTTCACAGGTCACCTCCAGTGCTGTCCGGTGCTAGTCTCCTGGTTTTGCTGCTGCCGGTCCACTGTTGCTGCTTCTCACCATCTGTGCTGTTTCTGGTGTTAACAGTTCTCCTCGCTTCCTTCTGAGTTTTCTATCTATTCACAGTTTCAAAACCGCTTCCACATTTTAGGTATCTGTTAGAGCAGCACCCCACTCCTGGTACCAAATTCTGTCTTAGTCATCTAGTGCTGCTATAACAAATACCACAGGAGGATGGTTTTAACAAAGAGAAATTTATTCTCTCACAGTTTAGTAGGCTACAAGTCCAAATTCAAGGTGTCAGCTCCAAGGGAAGGCTTTCTGTCTTGGCCCTAGAGGAAGGTACTTGTCAGTCTTCCTCTGGACTAGGAGCTTCTCTGCACAGCAACCCCGGGTCCAAAGGACATGCTCTGCTCCTGGCGCTTCTTTCTTGGTGGTATGACGTTCCGACGTCTCTCTGCTTGCTTCTCTCTTTTATATCTCAAAAGAGGTTGGCTTAAGACACTAATCTTATAGATTACATCAATATAACTGCCGCTAATCCATTTTATTACATCATAGTGATAGGATTTACAACACATAAGGAAATCACCTCAGATGACAGAATGGTAGACAATCATATAATACTGGGATTCATGACCTAGCCAAGTTGACAGATATTTTTGGGGGACACAGTTCAGTCTGTGATAGAGGTGAACAAGGTAGTAGCAGGGTAACCTGACAGCAGACTATTGCACTAGACCTGTGACCTATGCAGTTTCCTAAATCCATGTGTCTTAGGCTGGGTTCTCTAGAGAAGCAAAACCAGTAAAGCGTATAAATATATGTAGAGAGAGATTTATATCAAGGAAATGGCTCACGCAGTTGTAGAGGCTGGAACGTCCCAAGTCTGTGGATCAGGATAGAGGCTTCTCCTGATTCATGTAGCTACAGAGGCTGGTGAACCTGAGATCAGCCAGTCAGAAAGCAGGGCTCTTGCTCACAGACTGTGAAAGGAATCCCAA